ATTACATGTATTAATTAAATTTTTTAATTAAATTTATTAAATAATTTCTTACCTTATTATACATATATTGAATTAGATTTTAGTATATAACGGCACTACCATCTGTTTGAACTCTGCTACTTGCTAATATTACAGTTTGGAAACCTATTAATAACTTTTTCACAACAAAATGCTGAAAAAAAACATAATTTAAGTATTATTTATCAAGAAAGTGTATTGAGTACTTGTTTTCGTGTCCTTTCCATAGTATTAATATCTTTTAACAAATATAGTGTATAGTTGTAAAGTAAGGCAGCTGCGCATAATCATAAAGCCATTCATATGTATATTGTTATAAATTTAATTAAAATATTAAGTATTACAAAATATTAACCACAAATAATTAATGTAAAAACTACGATCTTCAAATAAAAATTAAATAATTATTTATTAATTAATTAAGAGTCCCCGACATCACCTCTTTCGTATCTGCAATTTAATGTCGCATGATTTTCGCTTCAAAAAAAAAACTTTCAACATTTGCATACGAACTTACACGAACTAAAAGTACAAAATGGAAGTACTAAAAGTAAGAAATGGAAGTACTAAAATCCGAACAACATATGTTATGATAAGTGCCTTGAGTGGATAATATGACAATAATGGCAATTGGCACAATGAGTACCAAACGAGTGCAATTTTTCGTACCAAATCCGCATAAAAGTGTTCGAAGAAGTTTTTTTGTATAATTATGTCATCAAGGCACAATATTTTTTAGAACTTATTGTTACAATGACAATGTATTTTTAATATATATTTACTACATGATATAGTAACAGATATACTTTTTGATATAAACATCATCATAAGGAACATACTAAATTTAATTTAGTTTTATAGTTTAAATTATTATTAATTTTGTTCTAACGTGTGCGTCCTTATAAATTTATACAAGTGGAGCTTGTATGATGTTATGTGTATGAAGAATAGCTGAATTTTTTTTTTTAAATCTTGTCACTAACTTGCACTAATAAATCACCGAGCAAAACACAGCCTGTGTTATAGTTTCTGTCTGGAAACGTATTAAGAGTAAAGAGAACCACCCTCTAATAGCCATTTCAGAGTTAGAAGTTCTAAATTCATATTAAAAGAATTATATAACGCACTAAGTGTAAGAAAATTTACGAAGTATGATCGAGGATTAACTACAACAAGGAATGACAGCGAAGTATGGAGGATACATGAAGAGTTAAAAAGTTATTAGTGCATGACATTTAGATATAGAATTTATTAATATTAATTTATGTTAGATCCTGATCCTGTTAATGACTCTCAAGGAGAGTCGAAATGTAGAATATATTAAAAAATGTTTAGTTTTAACAAAAAGTGACCTATAGCCAGATATAAAATATATAATAAAATACATAACATAAAAAATATATAACATTATAAAAATATGGCAATATTGAAAATTGAATTAGTAGTTAAATTTAAAGTACACAACTGTTATTTAGCAAATTGTATTGGCACCTATTACAAACTCAACTTTGATGTTTAAAATTAAAAAACTCTCACCGGCATAAATGGCAAGCAGGCATCAATTTTTGACACGACTAAATTCATAGAAGTAGGAAAACATTGTTTTATTCATTGTCTACCTTTGAATCATAGTATAACTGTGTCCTCATCGCTAAATAAGGATGGCTCAACTTTAACATCATTAATAAAGCAAATAGTATTATTACATTTGACAAACCATTAAATTACCAAAAAATTTTTGTTTCAAGTGTTTTCTTGAGTTTTTGTTACATCACCTAATAAACCTAAAGTAAACCCTAAAGTTGAATTAGTTGTGCCATAAGCAATCAGCTGACTTATTTTGTTTTCAATCTATATAATAATAATTTTCTACAATGTCAAAATTTTATTGAAATTAATTTTATAAGAAATTTGATATAAATTTTTCATGCGAAATGAATATTAGTAATTAACTTCATTGAAAACTAAGCTAGCGATTAATTCTGCCGTCTAACAAGTTGGGGTAACCTATTTTAAATCTAGTTTAATTAAATTAATTTAATTTATTTGTATTAAATATTTTGCCATGTATTAAATAACTCTCAAAAAACCATTGTATCTATAGTAATTAAGTGGATTATGAACTTAAGCTCTTCTAATATGGTGTATACAAAAGCAAACATTTGATATTATTCATTGTGAATTTCAATAATTTGTCTGAACTATTGTGAATAATTAGACGAATATTGCACAAAAAAAAGTTATAATAATTGTGTTGTGGGATTTAGCTACAGTTTTAATTCGGAATTCGTTGAGTTTGGTTATAGTATGAGTGAGAAGAAATGGACAGCTATTACAAGGAGATTATGTTAAGAAAACGCATTTCTGAATGTTAAGTGATCGTACAAACTAATTGGCTTGACAACTATTGTGGTGAAAAAAGTTGGTAAGTTATGGAATAAGTACTTATATAAAAACTAAAATATTGACACATATGCGTAACTTTTTATATAATTTTAAGAAAGTTTATTTTTATTATATAGTCTTACATTTTTTAATTAATTTAAATTGTGGGTTATTTATATTTAAAAACATAGACAATCGCTTCCATTTGATAAAATTTGTTTATAAATCTCCTAAAATAAAAAAATTTTACTGGAATGTTTCCTATTAGTATGTTATAAGCCATATATTTCTATAAGCCACATATTTTCTATGAGTGCGAGAGAGAACAGAAGTATCTGTGACGCCATTTTTCTTTTTCGTTATTTGGTACGTGTGAGACTATAATGGAATAAAGAGCCGAAAACAAAATAATACTTTACACACCACGTTCTTTGTATAAATGTGTGTATATTATTATATATATAAGGAAATTCTTTAAAACGTATATTCTGCGCGTTAATTATTAATTCTAATTAAAGTTTTATTGATCCACACGCGCTTTTCTCCTTACGAATTGCATAAATGGGACATGAGAATAACTGTTCATTCATATGCCGTTATAATCATTTTTGCTGTCTCTTTCTGACTTACAAGAAACAAATTTGAGATTGATTTCTAAAAAACGCTGTATGAAAGAATACGGCATTACTCGATATAAGGAACGCGCAAATATCACATTCTTAAATTTTTGTACATTTTGAGGTTAAAAGTTTTGACACTTTCTTAGCTTCTATCAAACAAATATATTTTTATTCTTTTGAAAACTTTAGTTGGAAAAAGTGGTAGCAACCTGAGTGTTATAAATTATATTTAAATAAATGGTCTTTTTTTTTTTTGGTTAAAATTAAAAGACAATTAATTGGACTATTTTACGACGTGGAAAGCATTTCTAATCAAATGTAAGTTTTTATTGATATCGCCAGATCTAAAAGAAACTTTGTGAAATTTGTGTAATCATAATCAAAATTGTTTAAAGTAGTAAAAAATAATAATCCTTTATAAAAATGGGCAATAGTTTTATTGTTAAAATCTAAAATAATATAGATACTATCCGTCACAGCTAAAAAAATTTCGAACTAGTTAACAAAAAACTTGCTAATGTAGCCTCTGCTTAAGGTTTGTCTATGAAAAAAAATTTTGTATTCATTTTATGGTTTTAATAGATTTTTGACTTAATAAATATATCTTGAAGGTAAAAATGTATAATCGAACGCTTAAGATAATGGAACATAAATGTCAAAATTTCTTGAAATTTATAAAATCGGAATTGAAATTCTTAAAACAATAGTTTATAACACTACTTCTGAAAAATAGGTATTTGTAATGTGGCGATCTATTGGCAGTTATATGCGTCGGTAAAAACAACAGCCCCTAGACACTTGATTATTTAAAAAAATATACTTGCCGGGAATAATCGTAAAAGGAAAGTGTTTTGTGAACATTGCAATTTTTTAAAAGACATATCGACATCATGAGGAACATTCCGCTCAACATTTTCAAACACTTCTTCAACATGCTTTTAGAAAAGAATAGTGGTGTGGTTCTTGTAGTAAAAAAAATGTTGATCGCAGTCTATTGTGAAGAGAATATATGGTTTCTTTGAAGTTATATGGTTACTTTAAGGTTAAATTTAATATATTGTGATCGTAGTCTTAAGTTCTTTTGTGAAGAAGATTCTTTAAGATTATATGTTGCATATTAATAAAAATAAGTATATAGTAAGTTCTGTATATATATTTATAGAGTTGAATTTTAAGAAACATACATATTTCCGAAAAAAATTAGAGGGTAGAACATTTATAGTTTTTTTAGCATTTATATATAATGATTGTGTTCTATTTAAATAGCAAACATATATATTGCTGTTGTATAGTATGTACATAGTATGTATGGTACACAAAATATGGAATTAAAATTATTAATATGAAGTAATACTATAAAACTATATATTCTTTTTAGTTTAGATATTGGCTTAATCAAGTTTTTTGTATTTATCCTAACCATAAATACAAAATTATATAAAATCAAGGCTAAGAAGCATCGAACAATTGGAAGTAAGTAATTAATTCTACCTTACATAGCTATTTCATACATGCAATGTATTAATTACTTACAGAATTAAAATATCGGGAAGATTTGAAGCTGTACTGGACTATCATTGAACTCTTCTTCA